CTCTTGTGGGTATTCAAGATCATTATCTCTTCTTCTTCTTCCTCCTCCTCCTCCTCTTCTTCCTCCTCCCTTTTCTTTTTGCACTATAGAGATTGAACTCAGCCTCACATTTGCTAGGCAAGTGTTCTCCCATTCCAAAAATCACAAGGCCAGGTACAGTGGCTCATACCGGTAGTTTCAGCTAACATCTAGGCTGAGCCAGGCAAGAAGATCCCTAGAGCCTAAGAATTTAAATCCAACCTGGCTACCATTTAAAAAAATGTGTGTGGGCTGGGAAAGTGGCTCAGTGGTAGAGTGCTTGCCTTGCATGCGTGAGGCCCTGGGTTCAATTCCTCAGCACCACATAAGCAGAAAAAGCCAGAAGTGGTGCTCTGGCTCCAGTGGTAGATGCTAGCCTTGAGCTGAAGAGCTCAGGGATAGCATACAGGCCCAGAGTTCAGGCCCCACGACTGACCAAAAAAAAAAAAGTGTGCATCAGCCAGGCGCCAGTGGCTATTGCCTGTAAGCCTACCTACTCAGGAGGCTAAAATCTGAGGATTGCAGTTTGATTTCAGCCCAGGCAGGAAAGTCTTTGAGACTCATCTCCAACTAACCAACCAGAAAACCACAAGCGGCTGAGTTCAAGTTGAAAAGTGTGTGTGATTATAAATCCTCCAGACAACCCTTTCCCCCAGGCTTCTCCTTTATGAACCCACATACCCAAGTCATTATTTCCCCTGCCCCAAATGACCTAGGCCAGGTACCAGACAGCTGAGGACAGCCCAGGTCCTCTGATTTGTTCCTCCCACTGATACTAAGCCTACTTCTTCCCTATCCAGTCTGACTCCTCTCTCCTGGCTCCTACTTCTTGACTCGCTCTTGTGTGTTCTTTATGGACCTATGCAGTGTGGTATGCCTTTCCTCTCTTGCAAATTAATAAATTCTCCTTAGGCTGTCACTTGTTGCCTCCATAAATTTAATGGGTCCATAATAATGTGAGGGCTCAGGGACTTGTTTTCAGTCTCTACTTAGCCAGGGATGCTCAGTGAATTTTTTCTTCCTTCCTTCTCTTTATCTTCTTTTGTTGGGGGTGGCGGTGGTGGTGGAGAGGCTTGATCTCAGGACCTGGGCACTGTCCCCGAGCTCTTTTGCTCAAGGCTAACCCTCTACCACTTTTGGGTCACAGTGCCACTTCCAACATTCTGGTAGTAGTATCACAGGCTTTCCTGCCCTGGCTGGCTTTGAACTGCAAACCTCAGATCTCAGCCTCCTGAGTAGCTAGGATTACAGGCATGCGCCATTGGCACCCAACAAATTTCACCTTTTAAAAGAAGTGAAATCTACTCCCATTTGGAGGACTTCACCATGCTAAGTTCCTCTTCTCTCTAGAAATGGGGACAACTTGAGGGCCCTTTGGTGCCTGGTTGAGCCTCAGTGTGGTTTCTGGATGTCATGGGGCTTTGAGGAGGTGAAAGGTGGCATGCTAGACGTGTCCCGTGGGTCATCAGGGGTCAGACTACAGAGATGATGGTGAGGACTGAGCGACTCGAAGCCCCTGGAGGTGTCTGTCCCTGAAGAGCACTCCACCCTCCTGTCATCATGCCTGTCTGCAGCAGGACTACAGTGAAATCAAAGACAGACAGAGGGGACTGTCAGGATAAAGCCACCGGAAATGAACCAGAAACTTTTCAGGACTCACAAAACTTTAGTTCATTCATGTTATTGGTAGTATCCTATTGTTTGGGGAGTTTGCTTGACTCGGGGTCTCACCTTGTAGTCGGCTGGCCTTGAACTCTCTCCATCCTCCTGCCTTCTGAGCACTGTGATTGCGGGCATGGACCCCCACACATGGCTCAATCTATGTGATTTGGGTTAATTTGCTTATGCTGGCTGCATTCAGCACTATCCATTCTTGCTAGCGATGTTTCCATTTCCTCACTGCTAGCAGATGTTTTACTACATCTGTCTTTCTCTGTATTCCTACCATATTGCTTAAGACCTAGAACCATCAGGGGGCTGGGGCTGCAGCTCAGTGGTAAAGCGTGGGTTAGCACTAGGTGAGGGAGGCCCTGGGCCCGAACCCTGGCACTGAAATAAATCAAACCCCAAACCGGTTTCATTCCCACTCCCACCTCCCCCCAGACCCCTTTTGCGTTCTCATCTCCTTCCATCATCTTGGGTTTCCCATGTGTGCATAATTTATATGCATGCATGCATATTTGGTATTTTTTGAATAGTTATCAACTTGGAGGCTTATGTCCTGCTGAGTACTGGCAAGGTGGCAAAGCTAATCCTCCCTCCCCCCACACACTTGGTCTACTTTTGAGGATGTGGTCTGAGGCCTCAAGTCCCAGTTCCGGTGGGCTGACCATCTGCATGCTCAACGCTCCACACACTAGTGCAAGAAATCTAACAGGGGCCTCAGCCTAAACTATGGGGTGGGGGCGGCTGTGTCCCTACCATTCCCAGAAAAAACACGAATTTCTCTCCCACCTGCTGGCCTGCCCTCTTCCCATTTCTTTCACTGCTTCTCTAGGACCGCTTCAACTCCAGGCTGAGAAGTGGTGGGTGAGTCATCTCCTAGTTCTAGGCTTGACCAAGATCTTGCTATTGGTCCTGCAACTTTGTATTTATATCTGTATGCACAGCCAGGGATCCTCACAGCACGGCCCCCCAGATTGTTGCAGTGACTGCTTTTGCTAGTTTCTTGTGTTCCTCTAGAGCCAGGTGAAGAAGTTTCTCTTGGGCATGGTAGAATCAATTGGGAAAGCTTTGCAAAAATACTGCTATCCGAGGCTGGGCTCCAGAAGGTTCGAACTTGTCTTTGGAAAGGAAACCCAAATGTAGGTGGTTTTGAGAAATGATCCAGGTTATACAGCCAGACTGTAATGGTAGTGCACACCTTTAATTCCAGCACTCAGCAAGCTGAGACAGGAGGATTGATTTCCATGTCTGCATAGGCTATGTGGTAAGACCATGCCTGAAATTTTTTAAAAGAAACTACTCAGGTGATGCAGTGCTGACCTGCGCAGTGATTCCAGTGTTCCCACTGGCCAAACCTTCCCATTCCTGTCCCAATAGTGGAGGGTGGTTGCCCACAGAATATGGCCTCTCTCCTCCAGCCCCCATAGCCCTGGGAAGCCAGAGTTACAACAGGGGGAACTGGGCAGCTGGAGCACCTCACCCTGGAGCAGATTTGCCATTATCCGGCCCTAAGACTCCTGGTCTCAGCCCTTCCAAGTTCCAGCGGTTACCTGAGGCCAGTATGATTTGCCTACTGCCCCCTCCCCTTGCTGCTTCTGAGGGACTCCCAAAGGAGTCCCCTATGAACACTGAAGGATCCTAGGTGGAAGACTACAGTTAAGAAAACAAGGCTGAGAATGTGGCTTAGTGGTAGAGTGCTTGCCTAGCACTCATGAAGCCCTAGATTTGATTCCTCAGTACCACATACACAGAAAAAGCCGGAAGTGGCGCTGTGGCTCAAGTGGCAGAATGCTAGCCTTGACTGGAGAGCTCAGGGACAGTACCCAGGCCCTATGACCAAAAAAAAAAAAAAAAAGACTTGCACTTAAACTAGTGTCCTCCAAAGTCATGGACCCAAGGATCCCATCCTCTCCCTGTGGACTTGCAGCTGGCTGAGACCGTGTCTGCTCACTGGCCAGACACTCCTCCCACCTTCCGAAGGCCCTGACTATGCTGGCTGACTTCCTGCTGAACTCCCTGGAGAGGCTGCAGCTGCCTATGTCGCTCCACTGACCCCTCTAACTACAGTATCCATTCTTTTTTTTTGGGGGGGTGGGGGGTTGGCCAGTTGTGGGGCCTGAACAATGGGCCTGAGCGCTGTCCCTCAGTCTTCAGCTCAAGGCTAGCGCTCTACCACTTGAGCCACAGTGCCACTTCCGGCTTTTTTCTTTTTGCTTATGTGGTGCTGAGGAATTGAACCCAGGGCCTCAGGCATGCAAGGCAAGCACTCTACCACTGAGCCAACTTCTCAGCCCCCCAGTATCCATTATCTCCAGCGGTGATGAGGGCGCGCAGGAAGGGAAGGCTGGCTCAGGTCAACCTCAGCTTAGAGGCCAAAGTGTCCTCCACCTAGGCAGTTGGAGCCTGAGCCCCTTCCTGTCTACACCATTTCTTTTTGCTGAGTAACAAACCACCTCAAAATCTAGCTAGCCACTCAACAAAGCCACTAATTACCACCTTTCTCAACTAGTTGCTCTGGCATGGGACAAGAGCCATTTTCCCGGGTAGACTTTACAAGCACAGGTGTTTTTTCCTATGGTGCTGGGGTTGATTCAAGTGCACCAACCCTGTCTGAGCTGTACCCCTGGCCCAGCACTTCCATTTCTGTGGGGGCAGGAGGCTCACCTTGTACTTGCAGTTTCTTGCCCACAAACCTCCCAGCGTGACAACTTCCTTTCTGCATGGTTATCAAGAAAAGCTTTGTTCTCTAGTTCTAGTGAAGGATCAACTGATTAGGTCAGGCTCATTTAGCATAATCTCTCTTCTAATGTAAGGCCATTGGGAACTTGAATGACAGCTGCAAAAATCTCTTCCCTTCTGCCACAGAACCTCACCCAGTCCTGGGGGAGGAAAACCTAGGGGCTCACAGGATTTGCGCAACCTTAAGAGGTGCTCACTAAGCTCGTTGGAACTCTGCTCCCATTGGGGCTTCTGGCCCCAGCTGAACTTCAGCAATGTGGATCAGCAGAAGCAGAGGATCAAAAGAAGGACAGGTACCAATCAACACTTTTATATAACACAAAACCTGTCTAAAAGCCACATGATCTCCCCAAATATGTGGTAGGAGCCATGTGGCAGGCAGCAAGGGCAGCAGGGGTCTCCTACTCGGACTTTGTCCTACTTCTCCTCACATTCTGAGCCACCTGGCCTGGCCTACAGGAGATGGAGGCCCGTCCACAAGGCCGCTCCAGCCCCTGCACACCACACTCCTCAACCAAGAAGCCACAGTGGTCCAAACTGAGCGTGGAGGACTGACAGACACCACACACACACCCCTGTGACCACGGACACACAGTGTGCAAGTTTAGTACTTGTTGGTTAACAGAAATGATGACAGGACACCGATGTGACACTACAGGGACACGGGTGGGACCACAGGAACCAGTGAGTGATTCCTTCGGTGCTGAGGCCATGAGGTAGTTGGCTCATGGCTCCAAGAACTGCAATGAGTGACCTCGCTCCCCGGGAGGACAAGGCCGCATCACTGAGTCACCGTGGGGGCAGGGCCCCCACTGGAACACAAGAAGGACTTCCGCAGTTCACAGCCCCTCAGGCCTTGGTCAGTCACTCATAGCAGCACTAAACACCACGTAGCTCCCCCAGCTGGCTACCCTCCCCCCAAATGATTTCAACAGGGAGTGAGGAACTGGGCAGGAGGGCCCACAGTGGTGGGAGGGATGTGGGGCAGGAGTTGAAGGAGGAGCTGAGTCCTGTAGGGTCTCCCTAGGCATCGTGAAGGTTGCTGTTGCTCAGAAGCACCTGTTCCCCAGGTTTGAAGGCTGGCATCCCAAGGTAAGGGCAGCTGGCACAGCGGAAGGCATCGCCCAGGTAGCACTGTGAGAGAGAACAGGAAATTTCAGCCAGGGAGCAGCAGGGTGCAGCTGGAAATCCATTTGGAACCCAAATGCTAGGTTTTCAACTTCTCAGATTTTATATAAAAAAAAAAATACTACTAGAGCCAGGTAATGGGGGGGCTTATGTCTTAGTCCTAGGTACTCAGGAAGCTGAGATCTGAGGACTGAGGTACAAAGCCAGCCTGGGCATTTCCAATTAACAAGCAAAAAAACGAGAAGTAGAGGTATGGCTCAAATGGTAGAGTGTCAGTCTTGAACAAAAAAAGCCAAGTGAAGAGCATGAGGCCCAGTTCAAACACAAAAAATTTAAAAATTGTTTAAAAAATAATAGTCAAGAAAAGTCCCTTTAAGGGGTTGTACACCTATATCGTAAGCAGTTTAAACCACAGCCAAGCTCAGCTCAATAGCCAAGTAGTATCAGGCCCCCACTGGGTAGACAGACAAAAGACAAGGCCAAAGATAACAGGTGAGGAGAGGCCACACCGGGGAGCCCACCCTAGGGAAGCCCTCCCAAGCAGCGCCCCCTCCCCCCACCCTGTCCCCAGGTGAGTGCAAATGCCAAGCTGGTCTGGCACTTACATTTCCACAGGCTGACTTGGGCTGCGAGCTCTGGCTCTTGGACTTCTCCTTTTCCAGCTCTTCTGCGAGACCGCAAGTGCTGCAAGAAGCAGTCGCTGATGAATGAGACTGGTCATCCCCCAGAAACGCCACATCCCCAGTAGTGCCAGGTCTGTAAGACTTTTCTCCCTTTACTAGGTGTCAAGACAGAAGCTAAGGGGTGAAGCTCCTGGGGAAGCTGTGAGAGGAGCGGCCACCACTCCACTTCCCTCAGGAGGGAAAACCCGGAGCTTTGGCTTCAGCAAAGATATAAGTCTGAACGGCCAGAACGAGTGGAAAGGAGGTAAGAAGAGTGTGTTTAGGGTTGGGACTGGTAGCGTCTGGAAGGCCTGCCCTGCCAGCTCACGGGAAAGGAGCAGAGATTCCAAGCATGGAACCAATCCTCCTCCACCAAGGCCTGCCCAACTTCCAGCCCATCAAGCCGTCAACAATGACATCCACCCAGATGCTCAGGCACCCTGTCTTCCACTTTAAAAAAAAATGTGTATATCAGTCCTGGGACTTGAACACAAAGTCTGAGCACTGTCCCTGAGGGGTTTTTTTTGCTCAAGGCTAGCACTCTACCACTTGAGCCACAGCTCCACTTCTGGCTTTTTGGTAGTTAATTACAGATAAGAGTCTCATAGACTTTCCTGTCTAGACTGGCTTAGAAGGCTGATCCTCAGATCTCAGCTCCCTGAGTAGCTAAGATTACAGATGTAAGCTACCAGCACCTGGATGTCCTCCACTTTTAATTATGAACAAAACTGGGGCCATCTGAAAGAAAACCGTCTGAAATCAGGCCATGTTGCTGGGTGCTTGTGACCTAGCACTGGGGAGACAGAATACCAGGATCACAAGTCTGGGCTGCAAGACCTTGTCTCAAAAAACAACAACACTACCACCATCACCAACAAAATCCCAAAACAAAATAAATCAAGATCTAAAGACATAATAACATCAGAGATTTGGGAGAAGAAACAGACATCTCCTAGAAAGAGGCACAGAAGAAAACTGGAAAATGTTAGAGAAAAGAAAATTATAGAAGCAGTGAGAGCCAACACTGAGATACGGGTTATTCAGAACACATGACTCGTGAACAGGAATCTAAAGCTATTTCCCAGGACCATACACATTCACAACTACAGGGCTGGAGGTATGACCCCATGCTACAGCGCTTACCCAGACTTTAATACCCCCAGGATAGCTCCAAAACCAAACCAAACCAAACCAAAACACTATGGAATTACAAGGATTCCAGGAATAAAGAAGATTCCACTAGCTCTCAAAAAGTTTTCATGAAAGGATCACAAAGGTCTTACAGAAAGAATCAGCTATTTGGCCTCAAAGAAAACAACAGAACAATCTCCAAAACAAAAAATGACTTCCAATCTAGATTTCTACATCCACATTATCAATCTTTTAGAATAGACACACCCCAGAATACACACACACACCAGAAAAAAAAAGCAAAAAGTAAAACTTATCACACACACACACACACACACACACACACACACACACACACACACACCCACAAAGCTAGTAGAAACCTGGCTTCAGCACACAAGCTGTAATGCAGGGGACACAGCTATCATGACAGAGAAAAGGGACCAACATGCCAGCTCTTGAACACAGAGTCACACCTGAAAACTGTCACCATTGCAACCCCTTGGCATCACGCCAATGTTCCACCCCAGAACCAGGCAGATCAGCCCTGTCTGTGTCCTTAGCTCACCTCAGCCACAGGGCTGCTCACATTCCCTCCACACTCGGTTACCCAGGAGGGCTGAGGACGTTCATTTCTGCTCTGACCACACTTCCACTGGCCAGCTGTTACTCCCCACTCAGGATTCTGCCTCAGAGTTCCCTGGAAGGACTCTTGTAGAGTCTCCGGAGGTGAGACCCACCATGACCAAAGGTCTGGCTCTGCTCACGTCCCCGGGGGCTTTCGTGCAATGTGGGAACATACAGCTCCCTACAGGGAAGGTCTCCTTCACAAGGCAGTATCTGACTGGCTCACTTCCAGCAGCCCCGGCTCAAACCACCACTTACCAGTTCTTACAGGCTTTTCTCTTCTTCCCTTCTCCACATGAAGGAGCCCGCAGGGACGCTGGATCAGGCTTTTGCAAATCTTCTGGATCCAGCAGTTCATCAGAGTCAATGAGATCCTGGAGAAGGTTCAAAGCAATCAGTGACACAGTAGTGGTCTTGAAGAAAGAGCTGATGTAACCCCAGGCTGTGAAAGCAAGGACCCACAGCCCCAGGGAAGAAGGCTCCTGCTCTCAAGTGCCCAGGGTCACTATCACCTTCCAGAGGCCATTGCTCAGGGAAGAAACTAGTAACTAATTTACATGGGAATAAGCTGGAGGACTTCAAACAAGCATGTGTTTGCAGGAAAGTGGGAACTGGTGGGACAAAGAAGTGTGAAAATACTGCCTTCAATGAGCCTTCAGCGCCTTGCCCAGACCAAGGGCCAATAAACACATTGGAGCTGACACTGCTTTCCGCTTCACACTTGTCCACAAGACATCAAGTGGGTAAAAGAGATGCTAAATTTATATCACTAGCAATATGGAGTGTCACCAGTGCCAGACACAGCCATACGCTGGGCTTTACACACACACACTCCTACAAGTCTAAAAGCCACTCCACACTGGCTGTTCACACTCATCATGGAGAACACGCAGTGACCTGCAGGGGGCCAACTCACCACGCTCCCATCCTCCATGTCATTGGCTGACAAGGTCCAGAGCTTGGCAGCAGCCGGGTCCACAGGAGGCTTCACTGAGTCCAACAACAGAAGAAAAAAAAAAAAAAGGAACTTTGTAAAAAATAGTCTACGAGCATCCTCCAAGGCCTGTGATTACAGCACTAACACTGAAATTGAAAAGCTGCTCCACAGGTGTAGGGAGAGCCTGGCTACAGGTACAGGGCATCTTATCTACCACCATCATGGCTGTGAAGTAGCTTGGGACCTGAACAGACTCGTGAGCCAACTAAACACGTGATTCATGCCTCCAGAGTAAAAGCCCTTAGTGCACTAGAAACCATCTTGTAGGGGCTGGGAAGGTGGGTCAGTGGTAGAGTGCTTGCCTTGCATGCATGAGGCCCATGGTTCCATTCCTCAGCACCACATAAACAGAAAAAGCCGGAAGTGGGGCTGAGGCTCAAGTGGTAGAGCGCTAGTCTACAGCTGAAGAGTTGAGGGATAGAGCCCAGGCCCAGAGTTCAGGCCCCACAACCGACAAAAAAAAAAAAAAAAAGAAACTATCATGTATTATTTAGGCCTGGGGACTAATATGCCCAGGTTACAGCCGGCCTTACCTGAAGGAGACTTCTTGCCGATGGAAAGCTTAAGCTGACTGGAGGAACCCACTTCGAAGTTGGGCTTTTTGCCGGCGATCTGAACAGAGAGCAGGCTGTCACCGCTGCACCCTAGGTGTTCCTGCACAGACTGCATCTCCTCAGGGCTCAGGGCCTCTCGCTGCAGCTGCAATTAAAGATGGCCAGGGGGTCAGTCCACATTCTTGCTCTCTCACTTCTCTATGTCCCACGTCCCCCTGCAGTGCTAACCCTGATCTCTGTGTGTTAAGCTCCCAATAGAAGCTGGCATAAACCACTTCATGCCTCCCATCCCCCTTCTCACTGATCAGAGCCTTAGGGTCTACTTTGTCAGCCTGTGTGCTTTAAGTCTACCCTCTGCTGAGTTTTCAAGTACTTTTTTATAAACTATTAGCCATGATGCGCTAGTCCTTGTGGGGGTATAATGACTCAGAGACGAGTCAGACCTGGTCAAAGAAGCCTGCTCACAATAAAGAGTAGAAGTTTTATCTTAAAGGAGAGAAAGGAAGGGAAATCCTTTCTTCAATCCTTGGGAATATCAGATAGTGAAGGTAGGGGAAAATGGTTAAGTGTGCTAAGTTTAAGTGCAATAATTGCTGAGTGTTACATAACTCATTGTCTATAACCTGGTATACTGCTAAATCATTAATAAAAATGAGAAGAAATATACTGAGATAGATAAGAGACTTATTTTCTGATGTAAGAGGCATGTAGGGGGGCTGGGAAGGTGGCTCAGTGGTAGAGCGCTTGCCTTGCATGCTCAAGGCCCTGGGTTTGATTCCTCAGCACCACATAAGCAAAAAGAAAAAAGCCGGAAGTGGCGCTGTGGCTCAAGTGGTAGAGCGCTAGCCTTGAGCTGAAGAGCTGAGGGACAGCACCCAGGCCCAGAGTTCAGGCCCCACGACTGAACCCCCCCCCCAAAAAAAAAGAGACATGTAGGGCCAGGATTTGTGTGGGATTACCCCTGTAATCCAACATTCAAGAAGTTGAGGCAGGAGAATCACAAGTCCAGGGCCAGCCTGGGCTAGAGTCAGACCCTGTCTCAACACTAGCAAGCAAAAATATGTGCATAGATATGCTGGCAAAAACGTAAGAAAAGGAAGTGGTGCTGTGGCTCAAGTGGTAGAGCGCTCACCTTGAGCTGAAGAACTCAGAAATAGCACCCAGGCCCAGAGTTCAAGCCCATGACTGACCAAAAAAAAAAAAAAAAAGTAAGAAAGGCCAGGCACCAGTTTCTCACACCTGTAATCCTAGCTACTCAGGAGGCTGAGATCTGGGATTCAGGATTCAAAGCCAGCCCAGGCAGGAATGTCTGGAGACTCTTATCTCCAATTAAGTGATGCTGTGGCTCAAATGGTAGAGCACTTGTCTTGAGCTGAAGAGCTCAGGGACAGCACTCAAACCCAGAGTTTAAGCCCTACAACCAACCCCCCACCATCCCCCAAAAAAGCCCACAAAAACACATAAGAAAGAAGTCTGCACAGACATACAAAATGCACTGGTGGCTTACTGACGGTGACAAGGACTGGGGTGAAACTTCTTCATATTCCACATTTCTTTAGTATAAATTGAATTTCTTTTTTCTTTTTTTGGGGTCCGGTCGTGGGGCCTGAACTCTGGGCCTGGGTGCTGTCCCTCAGCTCTTCAGCTCAAGGCTAGCGTTCTACCACTTGAGCCACAGTGCCACTTCCGGCTTTTTTCCTTTTGCTTATGTGGTGCTGAGGAATCGAATCCAGGGCCTCAGGCATGCAAGGCAAGTGCTCTACCACTGAGCCACCTTCCCAGCCCTATAAATTGAATTTCTATGAGCACTCCTTAGTTTAGAGTCAAGAATATTTTAAGACTTCAAGGGAAAATAAGAAACAGCAGGCACAAAGAATCTACATCTCACACCAGGCACTGGAAACAGAGTGAGTGATGTCCACTTGGCTGCCAGAGCTATCATCCTCCATGCTCAGACTTGAGTGCATTTTGGAAGAGAGTGTTTCACTAATGACAAATGATGGTGTCCACATAAAATAAATGAAGCAAAGCCCCAGCTCATCTAAGACGTTAGAGGCTATTCTCTCTCACACCCGAGAAGCTTTTTAACACTGGAGAAGTAGAAGCACTTGTTTCATTTGAGAGTGGGGAGATGTTTAGACACTACTGTTTCACCCAGGCTTAGGATCTGTGTTGGCTGAGATGAACAGAAGCTGCAGGGTACCTGCTATCACTGCCATACCCTGGCTGCTACCATCAATAAACAAGTCACAAGTGCAGGACAGACCACGCCCACAGGCTGGGCTGTCTCTTTGAAGATCTCCCAGAGGTTTGTATTGAGAGGCACCACATACCTCACATTTGCAGCAAGAGCCCATCTGTTTCCTAGTTCTATGCTGATCACTTATTTCCCCCTACTGTTCTGACAGATGACAGACAGATCCTGGGTTTGGTCAGCTAAGGTTCAAATTCCCAGCAAACAAAGTGGTCTGCACACATACCTCTTTTACTTCCACAAGGCCAGAAAGAGTCAGGGCTGAACACAGTTTAGATGCTGTCCTCACTTTGCTATTGTTAACTGCCAAGAAGAAAACCCCAGTTAATTGCTTCCCAGGTCAAAGCAGGAAAGATAAAGAGCTTCTCTCCATGTGGGTGAGTAGGCATTCACACAACAACAAGCTACTCTGTCCACTGTGTTTACATTAGTGAGAGCATTTTAGTTTCAACCATGCTTTCGGTACACAGTGCTGGTGAACGCTGTCACTCCCTCATCACTGTTTCCCGGCCCTGGCCTTTTTGGAGACCCTTCCGGGGATGCTGATATGATCAGCTCAGGGTTCTCTGCAAAGTTCTGACAGGCATGATATTTTGATGAAACAAAGTTTCAATTTCTAGCAAAGAATGCTAATGTCTGTTGTACACATCAAAAGGTTATTGTTTCAAATAAATATAAAAGCCTTTATTTTGAGATGCTTTCATTTATTTTATTTGATGAAATATAGCCACTTAAGATCTCCTGCTTTTGATTCCCAGGCACTGGGAAATACAGGTGGTGCACGACCATGCTAAGGTGTATAGGTACTTTTTGATCCAAAGTCAAGTGAAAAATGTTTTTAAAAAAAATCTACATCTATATCTATGTCTACATCTATCTTTCTCTCTCTATATCTCCAAGTAGGCCCTAGGTTCAAGACCTAGGATAGGCACAAAATAAAATAAAATAACCAAGAACTGAATGACAGCTATGTCACAGAACCAAAAAAAGGTATTTTTTATCCCTTGGATACTGTCATTAGCTACATGGGTTAATTATTACCTCTTCACAATCAAACTTCTGTTTATTTTTTTTGTCAGTTGAGGGGCTTGAACTCAGGGCCTGGGCACTGTCGCTGAGCTCCTTTGGTCAAGGCTAGTACTCTACCACTTTGAGACAGAGTTCCACTTCCAGTTTCTGACTGATTAATTGGAGGTAAGAATCTCCCAGGAATTTTCTGCCTGTACTGGCTTCAAACCATGACCACCAGATCTCAGCCTCCTGAGTAGCTAGGATTATAGGCATGAGCTACCAGTGCCTAGCCACTTCTGTTATACTTTTTAACTATTTTGAAATAACTATAAAATCACACAAAATTGGGGGGGAAACCCAAAATTTAAAAACCTCCCAAATCCAGAGAAGGCTGTGGCCCATTCCCCCCATCTTACCTGACAGATATGAAGACCAGGAACTGAGTACCACCCACGCCTTCAGAGCCGCTCACCCCTCTCCACCAGCCCCTGGGAACTACTAATCTGAACTAGGTGCTAAAATGTTTTTTTTCAAGATGAATAGTTATAGAGCATGGGACTTTTGGGACTTGCTTCTTCTCTTTCTGTATTCTTCTTAGAGGTATTTCCCCTCTTCTCCCCATCCGCCACCCTCTGCCCCATCTCCTGAGTACTAGGATTATAGGTGCGTGCTCCTTGCCTGATTATTGTTGCCTCTTTTTCCATGTTATGGATATCCCAAAGTCTAAGCTTTCACCTGCTGAATGATTCAGCCTCTTTTAGGTAGCAGTTACCTTCTATTTTATTCCCTAATGAGTCAAAGATCCCAATTTCTTTAGATCTGTTGCCTCTGATTTTAGCAATAATTTATCCCTAAAGATAAGGTTTATACAGAAATACTGCTCTCCAAATGATATCCCTGGCTTGGGAAGATGGAGCAAATGGGTTCAAAGATTTGACCTTGTCAAGTTCTGTCTTTCAGCGAGGGTGTCCTTACCTACAGCAGTTTCTACGGGCTCTTTCAGGAAAAGGCATCCCCCAGGACGAAGGACCCGGGCCATTTCTGCCAGAATCTCAGCGCTGTGCAGACTGGCACTTCCTGGGATGACTCCTGACATAATAACGTCAAAGCTGGATTCCTTGTGAGCAGCTGAAAAGGAAGATTCTCATCATTGACTTCCCAACCCTTCCAGTCCCCTGCAGCCACAGGCTTTGAATGAGGATGAAGCCTGACCTGGTTGGTCAGCACTATTAAACCACCATTACTAGCAAAGGGCACAGTGAGGCTCTATCCTGTTCCCTGTCTTCCTCATTTCCTATCTTTTCCTAGTATCAGGGAAAAGAAGGAAAAAGGAAGCTAGATGAAGAGTAAGCTTCTAAAAAACAACATGGCGGGCTGGGAAGGTGGCTCAGTGGTACAGTGCTTGCCTTGCATGCATGCGGCTCTGGGTTCCATTCCTTAGCACCACATAAGCAAAAGCCAGAAGTGGCGCTGTGGCTCAAGTGATAGAGTGTTAGCCTTGAGCTGAAGAGCTGAGGGACAGCGCCCAGGCCCAGAGTTCAGGCCCCATGACCAAAAAAAACAAAACAAAACACACACACACACACACACACACACACACACACACACACACACACACACACGGAACAGTTACTAAGAAACAAGAACATAAAGAAACCACTAGCCTCTACTTTCATAAGCCAGCCAGGAAAAACCCTCAGATCAAGGTACTAGAGATCAGTAGCACTCCCTTGAAATTTCACTTACACTGCAGCAGCTGGTTGATGTTTTCCACGGACACCTGGCCTTCGCTGCCGGTCAGCACTTGAAGGTTATTCACCAGCTCTTTCAGGGCTTCCACAGGGGATGACTTATCCCAGACCACGGCCACACGCTGGCCAGCCGAGATCCCAAACTCTGCCATGTCTGCAGTGCTGAAGCACCTAAAGGCTATGAGCAGAGGGGAATTAGGACTGAGAGGCTACAGTGCAACTTAATCCACGCGGTATCATACAGTACGATTGGGATCACAACTTACTCCCAACCTCCTGCCAGAGAATGCTCATGCTAGTGAATAAATGAAAGACATCAGCACTTCACAATCCAACCTTCCCAGACAGAGCTGGGGCTGAGGAAGGGGATTAGAGCCAAGTAAGGAGGTTGGAGGCAGCAAGATTACTTCTTCTTTATGATCACTTGGCTGGAGAGTATTAATTAAAGTGTGATTCAGCAAAGGTTAAGTAAGTTGGCAGACATAACCCAACCTCAACCTGATGGTTTTTGGTTTTGTTTGGTGGTACTGTGGTTTAAGTACAAGGCCTTGCACTTGGCTAGGCAGGTGCTTACCACATAGGTAACGCCCAGCCCTTTTTTCAGCTTACTTTTTGTTTGTGTGCTGGTCCTGGGGCTTGAACTCAGAACCTGGTTGCTGTCCCTAAGCTTTTTCTGCTCAAGGGTAGCACTCTACCACTTTGAGCTATAACTGAACAGCTTTTTTGATAGTTAAATGGAAATAAGAGACTCCCCAGACTGGCTTCAAACTGAGAGCCTCAGATTTCAGCCTCCTTAGTTGCTAGGATTACAGGTATGAGCCACTGGAACGCAACTTCCGCTTAATTTGTGTGTGTGTGTGTGTGTGTGTGTGCGCGCGCGTGCGTGCGCGCACGCCCGTGCCCACATGCATGCACCTGTACTGGCACTGGGGCTTGAACTCAGGGCCTGAGCACTGTCCCTTATCTTTTTCACTCCAGTCTGGCACTCCACAGCTTGAGCCACAGCTCCCCTTCCCCAGTTTAAATATTTTTAAGAGACAACATATTTGAACTTTGCAAACTGAATACTGATATTTCCTCTTTCATTAAAATGTAAAACTTTAATCCTAAATCAGCAGTGGTTGATAGTATCTACTGTTTTTATCACTAAATGTCAGCCATTTATTCAAAGCACCTTAGAAATATTTTCTCAATTGACCCACAGATCAGCCTTAAACTTGGGTTACTCCCAGTTTAGAGGTCAGGGTGTGAGGCCACTAATGCAGTGTGAGTTGAGCTGTGGGTAAGGTAAGGGCAGGGATCTGAATCCAAATCCACCAACAGTAAAGCCCGGGTTTAACCATGGAAACTTCCCCGCAGGGCCAGCTTCTTTTCCACTTGATATGCAGTTCAGATCTAAGAGATCACCTTGAAATAAGGTCAACAGATAGCACTCGGTTCAGCTCTTCCTCCTCCAACCTTAAAGTCACCGAGACAAAGTGGTAACCAGAGGGTGGGGCACTGATTAGTAAACACTTCTGACTTCTGCACAGGTGACAACTGTACCACCATCCACCCTGGGGCTGAATTTAAGCCCTGTACACAGCACTCTTCCATCCATAAAATCACTTTTCATGACTGCCTGTCTCCTCTCTGCCTACAAAAACCAGGCCCAATCACTAGTCACCATTAATTATTACAGTGCTTTGATTATATACTCATTTCAGAAATGAGTTATTAACAGTTTCATTTCTAGAGAAAAGCAAAGCTCCTTAGCCTGCTGGATTCAGGGCCTTGGAAATTTGGCTCTACCCTTCCCCAGTGAATCCCTCCTAGTTTCATGAGAAACCTGGATAGCTCCACTGTTAGCCTTTTACCACCTTTCATTACCCCAGTTGAACTCTCAGCCCCAGTACAAGGATAACAAGCATTAGTGGGCAGTCAGGTTTCCTTAGTCATTTAATTTTGGGGTTTAAATGCTTAAAAAGTGCACCATCAAGAACTGACAACTTTTAAGCTTGTAATTGTCACTTGATGTTGAGGAAGAACCCTTGCAAATCTTTAAGGTAAACAACTTGGAAACAACTTCATATTTAAAATGAAACATACAGGGATACTGGCTGCCAGTGGCTCACATTTATAATCCTAGCTATTCAGGAGACTTGTGTGCTGAGGATTTCAAGCCACTCTGAGCAAGAAAATCCAAGAGACTCTTATCTCCACTTAACCACCAAAAAGCTGGAAGTGGGGGTGTGACTCAAGTGGTAGAGCACCAGCCTTGAGTGAAAAAGATAAGGGATGGCATCTAGGCTAGGCCCAGCACACGCGCGCGCGCGCGCGCGCGCGCGCGCGCGCACACACACACACACACACACACACACACACACACACACACACACACACGAGAATGTCAGCAAAATGTCCTGCCATCTACTCTAATCTTAGGTGAGAGAGCTCATAAAACACATTAAGCATTAACCTCTCTCCCCCAACATAGTTATAGCTTCTACTATTACTCAGCATTTCCTAAACAATGTTTTCTAACTATCTGGAAGCAAATGTGTGCCACACTTCTTCATCAGAACTTTGTTTTTGTTGTGATTCAATTTTTTTTTTTGTCGGTCGTGGGGCTTGAACTCTGGGCCTGGGCGCTGTCCCTCAGCTCTTCAGCTCAAGGCGAGTGCTCTACCACTTGAGCTACAGCGCCACTTCTGGTTTTCTGGTGGTTTATTGGAGATAGGAGTCTCACGGTCTCTCCTGCCCGGGCTGGCTTTGAACCGCGATCCTCAGATCTCAGCCTCCTGAGTAGCTAGGATTACAGGCGTGAGCCACCAGCGCCCGGCAATTTTTTTTTTTTTTTTAAATCCACAAGAAAAAAATTTCCAGCATCCAAGCCAATACACGTAGGAACTGTGTGACTCAGGGCCCAGTTTCACAACTAAAGAGAAGTAGAAGTCAATGTCAGGTCCTTGATCTTGCTTGCTAGATGCCACAGCAACTGTACTGCACACACATGCTTGTGCCACCTCTAAACTGGTAGCAAGTAAAAGTAGATGTCTGAAAATAATGTCTGGAAATGCTTATTTTTATAGCACCAAGTAAGCATCAAATCTTGAGCCATTGGTTCCCTTTAAGAATTAGGTGACCAGGGGCTGGGAAGGTGGCTCAGTGGTAGAGCACTTGCCTTGCATGCTCGAGGCCCTGGGTTCGATTCCTCAGCCCCACATAAGCAAAAAGAAAATGCTGGAAGTGGCTCTGTGGCTCAAGTGGTAGAGTGCTAGCCTTGAGCTGAAGAGCTGAGGGACAGTGCCCAGGCCCAGAGTTCAGGCCCCAGGACCGAACCAAAAAAAAAAGAATTAGGTGACCAAAAATAGTAGCGAGGCACCAGTGGCTCATACCTGTAATTCTAGCTGCTCAGGAGCTGAGATCAAAGGATCATTGTTCAAAGCCTGCCCAGGCAAAAAAAAGTTTATGAGTCTCTTATCTCCAAAAAACCACCAAAAAGCTAGAAGTGGAGGTGTGGCTGAAGCCTTGAGTGAAAAAGATGAGGAACAGTGCCTAGCTGAGTTCAACATGTACACGTACACATGTACACACATACACACCCCCCACACACACATACAGTGGAAAGGCAGAGAACTTGGGTTGGACTTAGTGGTGTAGTGCCAGCTACTTGGGAGGTTGTGACAAGAAAGATCACTTGTGTTCAACAATTCTAGACCAACCTGGAAAGCACAGAGAAATCTCATCTCAAAAACAAAGAGAAAACAAGCCCCAGGAATATTTTACTTAATCCAAAGACTAGGATCTAGTTTTTACACTTAAAAAGTTTTGGCTCTACCACTGAGCTACCTTCCCAGCCCTTTCTTTTTTTTTTTGGGTCCGGTTGTGGGGCCTGAACTCTGGGTCTGGGAGCTGTCCCTTCCGGCTTTTTTCAATTTGCTTTATGTGGTGCTGAGGAATGGAACCCAGGGCCTCATGCATGCAAGGAAAGCGCTCTACCACTGAGCCAAGAAAAAAGCCGGAAGTGGCGCTGTGGCTCAAGTGGTAGAGTGCTAGCCTTGAGCTGAAGAGCTGAGGGTCAGCGCTCAGGCCCAGAGTTCAGGCCCCACAACCGGACCCAAAAAAAAAAAAGTTTTGGCTTAGGAGGTCTTCCACACTCATGGGAGAGAGGGTAGGGGGAGATAAGAGGTTGGAGGTTTTGAAAAATTCAGATTAGGGTGTGCCAAACACGACTTGAAAAGGATGAGGGCTAAATGCAAATGCGCAGAATTTACAGAATTACCAGCTTCCACATAAGCAGACTTGACTTCCAGTTATCACCAGCTCCCCATGAATGCTCAGGGGCAAGATTCCTGGACCATACCCAGATACCAAGTCACCCCCGCCCCCCCCCGCCAGCCCCCCAGCACAAAGCCTTAGGTTTTATAGACTAGCATCCCAGATCATGCAGTCCCACCAGTCAAATTTGGGAAACATTCAACCCCAGACGGTGAGGGGCTCAAAATGACTATCTGTACGCTCAAGCATCTCCAACTTTCAGTGCTCGGTTGCTGGGTAACCCCCCACCCCTCCCCAGCAACTTTGGGGGAACCGAGATCCAAGGTCACAACAGCTGGCCACGGGGAGAACCCGATCGCAGACCCAGATGTCCCAGATGCCAGCTCGGGCCTTCTCCTCCTCCGAATACGGAAAGCGCCCAAAGGTCAGACACCAACCAGGACCGGAGCCTGGAGCGAGCCCGGGGCAGCGGCGTCCCGCACATCGGCTTCCCGGGTCCTCAGCCCTCCGGGGCCTCCGCGGGTCCCCACAGAGGGACGGGACTGACGGGAAACGAGAAGATGGCCGGGAGAGGACGGTTGGGGAAGGTCGGGCGCTCAGAGAACCCGGGGGCACGCTCACCTGCTCCCCGGTGAGCTCCGGGCTTCTCTCCGCAGTCGCCGGCTCCACGGCGTGTCCCGCCTCTCGCGAGAAGAGGCACCGCGGGGCGGAAGTGCCGCATGACGTTCCGACGCTGCCCGTCGCGTCAGGGAGCGTCAGCGTACGTGCCCGCTTCCAAGATGGCGGCAGCGGTGTCTGGCGTGCTGGGCCGGGCGGGCTGGAGGCTCCTGCAGCTGCGGTGCCTACCCGGTGAGGGGGCGGCCGAGCTCGGGAGCGGGGAACGTATGCCGGGAGGGGCGCGAGGTCGACCGAGGCTGGGTGCGGGGCGGAAGAGGCCCCGGTGGCGGCGGCCCGCGGGCAAGGTGAAGTGAAGGGCATCGGTGTGGAACAGCTGGCATCGCAAGCCGTTCCTGCGGCCGGCTTTGCTGTCTGCGCGCGGGCAGTGCGGGGCGGGGGCGCGGGGCGAGGCCTGTGAACGGGGTCTCGGTGAGGAGCCGGACATCCAAGGTCACCGAGCCCCTGGGTCGCGGAACCCGCAGTCTTGGCCCCATTCTCACCCAGGGACCGTGGCAGCTCACGCCCGGGCGGCCAGGTCTATTGTTTTCCCGCAGCGTCACTCACTCGGCAACATTAGTGTGCCACTATTGGGGCCCTATGTCTAGTTTGTTGGTTTTTGACAGAACGGGGATTTGAACTCAGGCCCGCAGCTTCCAGCACTTGAGCCAAGTCCCCAACCCATTTCCACTTGAGTTATTTTTCAGATAGGGTCTCGCCAGAGTCTTTTTGTTCCAGGAGGCCACGGGCCGCAATCGTCTTACTTTCCTTCCCACTTACACCTCTCGCCTCCTACTAGGGGTCACAGGCCCCCGGCTTCTTTGTTAAGATGGGGTTTGGTCCCCATAGGCTGGCCTGGACCCCTGTCCTATAGGCATAAGCCACCGTGCTCTCTCCAGCCCTGCTGTGTTTTAATTTCTGCATCTGGCTATCCAGATTAAAGAGAGAACTGTACATTATTATAAATTAAAAACACCATCTTCCGCAAATACACTGTAATAATATGTGGACTCGTATATGAACGTCATTCTCTTGCATTTCAACTCCAATTTTCTCATGAAATGCACGGGTTTTGTGGTCATACTTTGAGATATCTCCTCCACTTTTTCTTTACATATACCAAGATATACAGGTTGCTCTTATAATGCTGTTCTGTTTTATTGATTTGTGTATATATGTATTTTTTGTGGTCCTGGAGTTTGAACTCCAGATCTCTGCTTGTCTGGCAGGTGGTCTACTACTTAATCCATGCTCCGGGATCTTACAAAAATCATTGTTCCTAGTCAGCACTAGTGGCTCACCCCTGTAATCCTAGCTGAAATCTGAAGATCAAGGTTCAAAGCCAGCTTGGGCAGGAAAGTCTGAGACTTATCTCCTATTAACCACTAAAAAACTGAAAGTGGATCTGTGACTCAAAGTTAGAGCACTAGCCTTGAGCAAAACAACCTGCTCAGGGATAGTGCCTAGGTCCTGAGTTCAAGCCCCATTACACACACACACACACACACACACACACACACACACACACACACACACACACACACACACACACACACACACACACACACACACACACACAGTTCCTGAGTTATTCTATATACTTCGTGTGTTGTCTTGTGTTTGTTCTTTGAGGCAGTGTCTCACTATATGTCACCCATGCTAGCCTAAAACTGCCTATGTAGCCAGAGTTGGCCACATATTCATGAATCTCCTAATTGTGGAGTTACCATACTAGGGTCTATTTATTTTTTAATGGAGTACCTTTTTTTGTTGTGTTTACAAAGAATTCCAGAATAAATATATTTAGTAGAAGTAGACCTAGTAGATCCACTCTTAAGTATTTACCCAAAAGCAATGAAAGCATATGTCTACAAAAACATGTACAAGGATGGGAATGTGGCTTAGTGGTAGAATGCTTGCCTAGCATGCATAAAGCCCTGGGTTCGATTCCTCAGTACCACACAAACAGAAAAAGCCGGAAGTGGCGCTGTGGCTCAAGTGGTAGAGTACTAGCTAGCCTTGAACAAAAAGAAGTTCAGGAACTGTGCCCAGGCCCTGAGTTCAAGCCCCAGGATTGGCAAAAAAAAAAGTACAAATACAATCATAGCATCTTATTTATCATGGCTAAACATTGAACAGCAAGTACTGTCAACAAAAATAGTATTGTTTTTTAATGGAATACTACAGGGCAACAAAAACTAAAGCTGTGACAGATCAAGACAGACAATAGTTAAAATGGTAAGGATGGATTTCATTCACTGTTGCAGTAAGGTGTCCAGTTGAAGAAGGAACTGGTTAGGTAGCCAGGTACCAGTGGCTCATAACTGTAATCCTAGCTACTCAGGAGGCTGAGATCTGAAGATCCAGGTTTGAAGCCAGCCAGGGCAGAAAACTCCCTGTGAGACTCTTATCTCTAATTAACCACTCAAAAGCCAGAAGTAGAGCTATGGCTCAGTATTAGAGCACTAGCCTTGAGCAGAAGAGCTCAGGGATAGCTGAATTCAAGCCCCACAACTGACCACCAACAACAAAAAGCCAGCTTTGGTAGGGCATAACTGATCTGGCTAAGGCATGAGAATCCTGAGTTTAAGGCCAGCCTAAGGGGCATAATGAGACCCCGTCTCAAAATAATAACAATCCCAAATGATGGAAAGGATAATGTTGATCAAGATGCATTTCACTTGTAAACTGACATGTTGAATTCAACTCCTCCTTATACCTCTGTTCTTATAAGTATGTGACATTTTCTACTCCTTGGGCTTCACATTCTCCTTGAGCAAGTGCAGATTATTATCCTAAATTGGTGGATTTCCAAATCTGCACGTTGAGAGAATGGTTTGCCCAATTCCACATAGTTGGCAATCATCAAAATAGGCCACGAGACAAAATAGACCAAGAGGCTAGATTGTTCTTTTATTCTTTGGTTCACCACTCTTGCTGCCATATCTGCCTTAAGGTTTCTGTGTAGGACCCAACACTTGGTTGAGTGTTCCAGAGGAGCCTCTGTCTTCTTTCCCATTGGTCTTTAAATTAGTTAATTAACTTAAAATGGGGTTGGTTGTGGGGCTTGAACTCAGGGCCTGGGCACTGCCCCTGAGCTTTTTCGCTCAAGGCTAGCACTCTACCACTTTGAGTTACAGCACTAGTTCCAATTTTCTGGTTGTTAATTGGAGATAAGAGCCTCATGGACTTTCCTGCCTTCGCTGGCTTTAAACCATAATCCTCAGATCTCAGCCTCCCGAGCAGCTAGGATTATAGCCATGAGCCACCAGTTCCCAGGATACCCTCCCCATTGTAATGCCGTCCTCTGGGTCTCAAAGGGTCTCCTCTGGTGTCTCTGACTGACAACATAGTTTATGTTTCAGTGTCCCGCTGCCGACAACCTCTGGTGCCACGGGCCTTCCATGCTTCTGTGAGGCTCAAGTCTTCAGAAGAGCAGAAGCAGCAGCCTTCCTCCTCCTATTCTCAGCAGCATTCTGAGACACAGGGGGCAGGAAGACCTGATTCAGAGTCTCCTCATCCACCCCCCAGGTAGGCACCTGGACTCCAGAGCAACCATTTCTGCCACTTTGCATGCTCGGTGTGTCTGTTTCCCAGCAGTTCTCTCTTCACCCCTCCTCATCTTTCCTCCTTCCTAAGGCTGTTGGAAAGGTACCTTTGTTTTTAATATTCTGAACTATCCCAGCAATATACCCAAGTTCACAAAAATAAAGCAGAATTACCTAAAATCACACTCGCAGAAAACTTGGCTAACATTTTTGCCTCTTTGATGTTTCTGTAAACATATTTCATACTTATCTGTGTATATAATAAATGCTTAATGACACTCAACACTGTTCCAGAACCTGTTTTTTCACTCAGTAGTACATATGAGAAAGATTTGCACATTTAAATTGGTGTTACACAGGTGGGGTCAACTTAACCTTTCAGAAAGGTATTAATTCAGATTTCCATTAGGTTTAGTTGTTTGTTTGTTTTTTTATTAATCTTGCCACTGGAAATTGAATGCTGATGTGTGTAAGTAGAATATTCATTTTTCTGGTTTCCTAATTAAAGTTTTTTATTTCAACAAATATTTTCTTAGTTCAAACCCTAGTACTTTTAGAAAAAAATTAACAAGTATATTTTGAGGATCTGCTCTGTGCCCTGGTAGGCAGTTACAATTTGGGACAGCCCAGGTAAAGCCTCTGTGCTAAGCTGTAAACTACAGCCCAGATGTGTGGCCCATTGTCTTCATATCATAAGTGCTCAGTCACAGCATGCCTTCCCTGATGCCAGAGGGGGAGGTCACTAGACTTCCACCTCCTGCCATTACCACATCACATTGGCATAGAAGAGAGGCAGGGCTCTGGCCTCTGGTGGGCACACCAGAAGTGAGGTGGGCTGTCTGATGTCCCAGGTACACAGAGCAGAGCGGAGAGGAGGAGGAGGACTATGAGAGTGAGGACCAGCTGCAGCACCGCATCCTGACAGCAGCCCTGGAGTTCGTACCCATCCATGGCTGGACCGCAGAGGCCATTGCCGAAGGAGCCAAGGTGTGTATTGATGAGGGAAGGGCTGCCTGGAGTCGTAGGAGGCTGAAGGCCTCATGCATTCTTATAGCCTAGTCAACGCCCCACATAGCTACAGGATTGTCTAGGATTTTTTTTTTTCTTTCTCCCCATTATTATGGAATAGATCTTTTTTGGAGGAGGAGGGGTATTGAGACAGGTTCTTACTATGTAGCCCAGGCTGGCCTCAGACTCATGAATGGGCAGTACAGGTATGTACCACCTGCCCAGCCTGTTTCTAAATTATTGTGCCGTGGAGTTGGTTCTTGAGAGTCATGTTCTAAGAACACCTATTAGGCAAGAATTGTCTGTGATCAAAATTGCCATATTTTGATTCTGAAATGCCATTGTTTATAAGCGGCTCTATATTTATTTATTTTTTATTTTTTATTTATTATTATTATTATTTTGCCGGTCATGGGGCCTGAACTCTGGGCCTGGGTGCTGTCCCTCAGCTCTTCAGCTCAAGGC